AGAGATAGATAAATACCCGATATTATTTGAATAGGTCAATTTCGAGGACGAAATTTCTTTTAAGAAGGGAGAAATGTAACCTTCGTAAAATCCGTAACCGTATAAGTGTATATATCGAGATATTTATATTCGTATATATATACTAAGTGTAGGTGTTACATACGTAAAAATCTGTAACCATGTAAAAATACATACTAGAATATTCGTACGTGAATGGTGATATGTACATTATGTATGGATGTGATTTACATGGCTTTTAATAATTTTATGATATGCACGTATTTGGTGTTTATGTACGTGAATGTTGGAATAAATTGGTGCACGTCAATATTTAAGGGGAAAAACTTTGAGTAAATTAGTTAGAAAATTTCTTTTATATGTAATAAGTATAAATTAGAGAAAAGGAAGTGCTAATTGTCGAAATTTTGGAAGGAATTCCGAAAATATAGTTAATTTAATTACCCTCATTTAATTACATTTTGGCCCCCACTTTCTACAAATTTTCATTGACCATCACCTCTTCCTCCTTGAAATTTAAACCCATTATTTCATTAATTTCAACCACATTTACCTTACATTTCACTACAAGCTCTCGACACTTGTAATGAGCATTAAATGGGATAAGTTAGATGAGATATTTAAGTAAAGAAAATGGGATAAAGATGCATTTTTTTGGTGCATCCCGTAGCCTTCCTCAAAGCAAAGAAAGAAAGAGTGAAAGAGAGGGGAGAAAGAGAGAAAAACGGGAAGGAAGAGAAGGGGAGAAGAAGAAAGAAAAAAAAAGGAGAAAGCCAAAGAGATCTTTAGGAAAGCTTAATCCAAAGTAAGTAGGTTTTCATTTGAGTATCATATTATGCTTTAAGTTTCATCTCATGTACTTAAATTATGAGTTGATTTGAGTTATTTTCATGTCTTAAAGTTCTATTTTAAGTGTAATTTATGGGTGTTATCTTAAACCATGTAATATGTTGTTTTGGTGGTTTGTGATGGTTATATGCTTGATGTTTGGGAGGAATCCATGTATGGATGCCTTGTTGTGATAATTTATGATGATTTTCAAAAATGTCCATGTATGTGGTGATGGGTTGGATTGGACTTGGACTAAATGTAAATGAACTAAAACATGTTTAAAGTTGGTTTGGAAAGAACTAATAAATTAGTGTTGATGAGGAGTAAATTCTGTTCGAAATTTGAGGTGCATGTTCAAGAACTTTAGGTTGATTTTTGGATGAAACTTAAAGAATAAAAGTTATTCATCTATGTTTCATCTGACTGCCTGTAACATTTCTTGGTCATTGGATTTGTTTACAAAGAGTTATACCCGATTTAGTAAAGACAGCTCTAGATAAACTACTACTGGGCAGATTGCTCCCTAAGTTTCAAAATTTTATAATAAATTGTGTACTTGGTATTTCGACCTAATTTTTAGATATGTTATAAATCAATAGGTCTAGTATCTAAAATAAAATGGGTAAGATTTAATTATGTTCAGAAGTTAGAAAATTACTTACTCGATTAGAGGTTGCTCGGTAGTAAACTCTAAAACCCAATAATTAGACTTGGACAAAATTTATGGGTGTAGATAAAATAAAATAAAATTGGATAAAGTCAATGGACTTAGGATTAAGTTAATAAACTTGGATAAAGTTAATGGGCCTAGAATAAATTAAATGGACTTGGACTAAAATCAAAAGGCTAGGTTCTAAAGTAGATGGGCTTAGACTAAAAGAAATGGGCTTGGACTAAAATAAGTGGACTTAGATAGAAATAAAAGGGATTTGAAAATTCTAAAGAAAATTTATTCTTTTAGAGAGGAAATAAGAAAAAGATTTGGACCTTCTTTGAAATATTAATAAAACTAATGAACAATATTAATGAGCGGAGGTTGTGTTCCCGCTATGAGTACCATGATTGGTATGTGAGCGACGGGTGAATCCCGAGTGTTGGTTGAACCGTGAGTATGGCTTGAGAAAGAAGGGTTGGTACTCGAGTTTGGTTGAATGTGATTAAACATGTCATCACGTGCATCACGTGCATTGGGGGAGTGGAATAAATTGAGAAAAATCATTGAGTCATGAAATGACACGGTTTGGTAATCGAATTGAGTGGAATGGGTAATAGCAAGGAATCCATAGTGCGAGCTCTATTTACTAACATGTGTTATAGCGATGGATAATTTCGCTAACCGTGTGCTATAACGAGGGATAATTCCGTTACGAGCAATAGGTAATATTGAGATCATCGAGAGAGAGTAATAGAGCATTAGGTGATAACACGATCACCGAGAGATAGAACGCACGGACTTGCGGATACCTAGGGTACCCGAATTAAAATGGATGAAAATGTGAGAAACAAAATAGCATTACATATTACGTACATCACCTTACTTATTGAGCTTTGGCTCATTCCGTTATTGTATTTGTGTGTTGTTTAGGCAAGGGCAAAGTTAAGTCGATCGAGGATGCTACTGGTTCTCACTAAAAGAGGCTCATGTGTCATTCATAAAAATAAGAATATCTTTTGTGTCATTAAAAAGAGGTACGAGCCTAATTTGTAAATTTTTAGGCATTTTGAGTATTTTGTAAATTATAGAACTATCCGTAATAATGTTTGTAAATTGTATCGTACGTTGCCCATGGTTTAGTTATCTATGTATTTTGTTGTGTAATGATGGAGGAAGTAGGGGACTTAGTCCCAACAGAGTGTGTCACGCCGATCACGCCTATTAGGTAATAGGCGAGGAGCCGGGGCGTCACGGTTACACGGTAAGTTCTCAATTCGAGATTGGGGAGATGTTAATTATCTTTTAGGTATTCGAGGCGATATCACTAATTTGATGGGTTACTACTTACCCAAATAAGATGTATCACCTCTATTCGAAAAAAGAAAAAGAAATGTCGGATTACAAGCTTGTTTGTACTTCAATGCCTACTATTCCTAAACTCGGTAGCCATTTGGTAACACCCTTTAAGGATGCGACTAAGTCTAGACAAGTGGTGAGGGTTCTTCAATATGTTACTCTCATACAACTCGATATTACTTATGTAGTAAACAAGATCTCGCTAATTTATACATGCCCCAAAGGAAGAGGATTGGTCAATAGTAAAATGGATACTTCGTTATTTAAAACATATATACACTATAACTTATTTCTTTCAAACCATAATAGTTTTTAGTTACAGGGGTTTTTCTAATTCGGTTAATGTCAAGACAACAAAAAGTCTATAAGTGATTTTGTTATTTTCTTAGGTACCAATCTTGTTTCATGGAAGTTATCTAAATAGAAGACTATATCTCCTAGCTCCATCGAGGTAGAGTATAAAGTTTTGGCCGATTTTCTTGCTAAATTGGTATTGTTCAAATCCTTACTTATTGAGTTTGAGGTTCAACTACCAAGACCCCCAATCCTATGGTATGATAATATCAAGGCTACCTATTTTTGTTGTAAATTCTAAGTTTCATGCTAGAACTAAACATGTAGAAATTGACTTTTACTTTGTTAGGGACAAAGTTACTAAAGGAGAGTTCCAAGTCAAATTCATCAATAGCCAGGACTAACTAGCAAACATTCTCATTAAACCACTAGCTGCTAGTCGGCTTGCATTATTTAGGACTAAACCGACAATTGTTCCACACTTTTTGTCAATTTGTAGGAGGGTATCAACACAAACACTATAAGATAGAGAAGACTTACATTCCAACACAATCATCTCATACTTCTCATGACAACAACAAGTTAAGAAGAAGGAAAGACTCACAACAACAAACATTAGAGATAGAGTTTAAGTCATTACTAGTTGTTACTCTTTAATATAATGTATTTATCCTTTTACTATTATTTGTAACACCTATTAGATATAAAAAGCATAAGTATTAATACAAGAATAAAGTCACATAAAAGATTGTGTAGACTAAATATTTCTTCCAATATATTTTCTTAAATTCCATTATGATGTATCTTGTTTTCTTATATTTTCTCGAGTTATCAATTCGTACCGCCTCTATATTACAAACAATTATCTAATAAGGTTCTTATACCAGCTTTAATATTAATTGTATCCTTGTACTGAATTAATTTATTAAATATGAGCCATTTGTTAGTGATTTGGCTAATAACATTAAGTTAATCGTATAATCGGATGAAACATGTCCTTTGATAATTGATCGCATTAATTTTTATTTTTATTACTTAAAGTATTTATAAAAATTATAAAAAAATTAAAAAACCTAAAATTTCCAAAATAATTTACCTAGTCATCTTTAGTTTTTTTTTTTTCGATTTCCTTTTAGAATTTCTATATTAATATGATCAATAGTCAAAGTATACGTATCTTCAATTTATGCAATTAACTTAATGCGATTGGCCAAATTGCTAATGGAGGATTTACATTAAACATATTGATTTAACAAAATTTAATTAACACTTAAGCAAACATAAAAATTTGATTAAATAATTATTTATAGTACATTTGCAGTATGAATCAATAACTCTTTATATTTTTATACACATTTATAATGTGATATAAATGTAATAATAACCTTCGAGAAATGTAATAAAAAAAAGTCGATTAATACTTGTTACGGGTATGATAGTGTCTTGATAAAGTGATGAATTTATTATGGATTTTTTTGAAAAGATGATTGGTTTTATGGAAAATTTATCCTCGTTTTATATCAATTTATGAATTTCGGGTTTTTATCATTAATTTGAGTAAATTGAACCACAAAATATCAATTTTTGAGTTAATATTGTCCAACTTTTAATTTCTCATTATTTGTAATGGTCAACCGATTAACCATTACACAAAATGCTTAAATGTTGTTGTTTCACAGTTAATATTTTTTTTAATGTTCAATATTAAATTGTCACTACCAAGGCTCCTCTATAGCCCAAACACCATCGATCCACCACTCCATAGCCACTCCTTCATCAATATAACCACCATTCATTGCTCAACACATCCCAACCACCTCTCCTAGCTCGAGACCTATTGTCCAACCACCTCCTTCAGTGCTCGAGAACACACCGACCACACTCCATATCGTTCACCATCATCAAACCCATTGTCTTCAACACCGCAACGACCATCACCTCCATCATTGTCTCTTACCTCATTGAAACCCTCACCAAAGCCACCTCTGTTGTTGTTCCTCTCCTAGCCAAACCGTCAACGTCGAATCGCCCACCACTTTCATAAAACCCACAACATCGAACCAACCACAAAACCCATAACGCCACCACTCGCTAAAATTTAAAGAAGAGGTCGTAAAATTAACTAAAAACATAAGTCACCGTAACATTATCTATCCCCTTTTTTCCCTCTCGATTTCATAACCCTAAGTTAATCTCATTATGTCTCTCTTCTTCTCTCCTCTTAATTTTGAGCATTTTTTAAACTTTGTTTTTTAAAAAAATTAATAGTGGAATACTTAAATAACATCGTTTAAGCATTCAACGTAACGATTAACTAGGTTAACTATTACAAACAACGAAAAAATTAAGATTTAATAACATTTATTCAAATAGATATTTTGATATCCAAATTAAGTAAATTGATAATAAAAATCTAAAATTGTCATATTGTAATAATTCCAGAGTAATTTTTGTAATAAAACAAATAATGATTTATATGGTAATTTCTATTGTACAAACATCAGTCTTTCGATACATCAATTTCTTTGAAAAAAATATACTACAAATTTATCAAATGCATTGCTAAAAACATGGATTTATCTCCTTTTCTTTTTAAGAGATTGCTAATTTGTTATGGAATGCAAGATCATTTAATGCCTATTTTATTCATGGTAGATATTAATTGCCTAGCCTATTTATGCTGTTCCTGAGAGGACCGTGGAGAGTAGTTTATTTTCCATAAATAAGTTAGAAACTAATTGACTAAGGACACGTTTTTTTCCTTCTGAAATTATTGATTAAGGACGCATTAGCATCAAAGAATAGGGACCATTCCTTATCTTTTGTTTTGTTTTTTCCTCCCCCTCAATCTTTCTTTATTAATGGGACCGGTCGACTTCGGAGGAAAAAAGGCTTGGAAACAAACGAAAAAAAAAAAAAAAAGGTGGTGACCATACACGTGGATCACATGCCAGGTAAAAATTTACATCACAACTTCCAAGTAACTTTCATAAATGGGTCCCACTTTAGCTGTCGTATTCTATATGTTTAAGTCCTGAAAATGTCATCACAAACTGAGAGCACCAAGGAGCAAACAAAAAATAATCTTCAAGCTCCCCTATTTTTCCAACAAAATGAAAAAATAGATGAAATAAATTTTTTTAATAAAAATATATTTATTCAACCAACATATTTATCTCAACGGTTAAAAAAATTATTAAAAATTTTATTACAAGAGCCGGCTCATTTGAATCCCATTTTCTAAATTTTTTTTTGCTTGTAAGCACTATTAGAAGTCTTGATTCATGTAATATTTTATTCCACATTGGCAAGTAGGGTTAAAATTAAGAATGATCTAATTTTATTGAACAAGAAAAAAAAGACTTGAGGATTAAAAAGAGAAAAAAAAACTATACATTACCTCCTTATTGATTAGATTTTATATCTTAAATTAGATTATAACGAATGAAAATCTCATAAATCTTGTAATCATAATATAAATAATTTGCATTTGAGCAAGTCAATTAAATCAATTGAATTTTTATGTACAAAAAAGGTTCTAGAGTTACTGTAGCCGTGATGGGGAAAAGAAAAGAAAAAAGAAGCCACAATTAGGCCTCAATCAAAGGCAATCCGGAACTTTCCAGTTGCGTGTAGGAGACGGGTCGTTGAGGGCTTACTTCTCCTCTTTGTCTTCGTAAACTTCAACAACCCAATATTTTCGAGAGTAAATTATAAATTAGTCCATGTAGTTTCAAACAATGAATTAATTAGTTTTTTTGAAAAATTGTTATTTAATCCTTTTTCCTAGAATTGATCATACTTAATTTAATACTATTTTACTTCATAAAATTTTTTTTCCAATTTTTTTTTCATTTTTTCATTTTTTATTTATTAAAACAAAAAATAAATGAAATTAAAAGTATAGAGATTAAATAATTATTTTTGAAAAAACGAGGACTAATAAATTATTTCTCAAAATTAGAGGGACTAATTTATAACTCATATTTTCAAAACTTAAGAGGAAAAAAAAAAACAATAATAATAAAAACTACCCTCTTCTTTAAATATATAACCTTTTATATTCTTTTCCCTTCCAAAAATAAAAGCTCCTCCTGTCTTGTGTAAATTCAGCTCTGAACACCCAGCAGGAAACTTAGATAAGCCAATAAAAGCTGTTTCCTTGTGGAACTTTACTTGTATTTCCCACCTGAGTTTTTTTCAAGAAACGAGCTTTTATCCCATCCAATTTGCTTGAATTGATCGAAAGTTTGTCTCTTTTTGATTTGTTTTATTTATTTCTTTTTCTTAACCCATAAGATTCTCACTTTTTTATTCGTTTTACATTAGTATTATATCGCTGGGGTTTTTTTTTTTTTTTTGGTTTTTCAGGAAGAGAGAATAAAACTAAATACTGGGTCTTTTCTTTTTGCTTGATCCATTGGAGTTTTGAGTGAAAGATTGGATTTTAGTGAGAAAATGAGGGAAAAGTTAGGATTTTTAGTTTGTGTATGGTTTTTGCTTTGTGGATTTTGTTTCGGTAGGTTTGTAGTTGAGAAAAACAGCTTGAAACTTACATCACCTGATTCGTTGAAAGGTGTTTATGAATGTGCGATTGGTAATTTTGGAGTTCCTCAATATGGAGGTACTTTAGTCGGTACTGTGGTTTATCCAAAAGCTAATCAAAAGGCTTGCAAAGGGTTTGATGAGGTTGATATCTCTTTCAAATCTAGACCTGGAGGGTTACCTACTTTTGTCCTTGCTGATCGTGGAGGTTAGCTTCTCGAATTTCACTTCTTTGATGCTTGCAATTTAGTTGTGTTCTATTTTGTGTAATTTTTATGGTAAGTGATAATTTGTGTGGAGTGAAGTTCAAAGTTTGTTTGTAGTTTTTAGTAGTTTATTTGTACTGATGATATATTAATTGTGGGATTCTTTGTAAAATAGATTTGATTTTAGATGTAATTATGCTATACGTGGCATGTTAAATTAACTGGAATTTTTGTAATTGATATTTAGCACTTTTTGTTTATTGTGCTGCAAATTTGTTGGCTGCTACTGGATTTCAATGGCCCTTTTCTGACTTTATATAGTTCGGAAGGGGGTTCTGATTTTCCGTACTTCTTTTTCTACTTAATTGTTGATAGTACAATTGGAAAGACAGCAGCATAATTCATTTTAGAAAATGGATTTGCTTTTCATGAAAGTTTGAACCATGCTTGTTCTCTACTTCGGTGTGGAACCAAAGGTAGTTTTATGACTGGTGGTGATTAGTGATATTTTGGATTATATGCTGTCGGGTGCAGTTGATAATTCCACGGAAGTAACTGAGGTGTTCTTTTCTCCATTTTGGACGAGGCATCTATGGAAGTAATTGTGTTCTTGTCTGCCTATAAATTTATCTAAGATATCTATTTTTGCAGATTGTTACTTCACCTTGAAGGCATGGAATGCACAGAACGGTGGAGCAGCAGCTATTCTTGTAGCAGATGACAAGGTTGAACCATTGATTACCATGGACACTCCTGAAGAAGAGAATGCAGATGCTGATTATCTGCAGAACATCACTATCCCCTCAGCACTTATTAGCAAGTCCTTGGGGGATAGTATCAAGAAAGCTCTATCTAATGGGGAGATGGTTAACATGAATCTTGATTGGACAGAGGCTCTTCCACATCCTGATGAGCGGGTTGAGTATGAGTTCTGGACAAATAGCAATGATGAATGTGGGCCAAAGTGTGATAGTCAGATTGAGTTTGTCAAGAGCTTCAAAGGTGCAGCTCAGATACTCGAGAAGAAGGGTTATACTCAGTTCACCCCTCACTATATAACATGGTATTGCCCAGAGGCATTCATTCTGAGCAAACAATGCAAATCCCAGTGCATCAACCATGGGAGATACTGTGCTCCAGATCCTGAGCAGGATTTTAGCAAAGGGTATGATGGAAAAGATGTTGTAGTTCAAAATCTACGACAAGCATGCTTTTATAAAGTAGCAAATGAAAGTAAAAAGCCATGGCTTTGGTGGGACTATGTGACTGATTTTTCAATCCGTTGTCCAATGAAAGAGAAGAAATACACCAAAGAGTGTGCAGATCAAGTTATTCAGTCTCTTGGTGAGTCATTGGCTCTATCGTGTTTATTTTCACTTCCACCACTCTCTAGAAACCACTGCTCTCTTTATGTTGTTTGTTTAGTCAAATTTTCCAATAGCTATGTTGATATCTGTTGTACAAAGTTCTTGACCTTCTGTGTTGTTTTCTGTTCTCTGTGGTGTTGGTGAATGAAGCCATTTGTTTTATTTTGGACAAAATGCCTTGTCTGATTCTTCCGTAGAACAACAAAGGCTTGTTTAATCCATTTGCTGCCTAATTGACTTCTAATGTTTATTGAGAGCAAATAAAAGCAAGCTTCTGAATATTGTTGTTTTGCAAACTTAGGTGTTGATCTCAAGAAGATAGATAAATGTATAGGAGACCCAGAGGCAGACATGGAAAACGAAGTTCTTAAAGCTGAACAAGATTCACAGGTTAGGGTCATCAAAATTTAACTGCTCTAAACTCCCATGTTTCTTTAAGGTTTTATTAGTTGGGTAATCAGTTGACTTTTATTTTTTGGTTTTTGAATTCTCAATTCAGATCGGGAAAGGGTCTCGAGGAGATGTGACTATACTTCCAACTCTCGTAATAAACAACAGGCAGTATAGAGGTTTAAACTCAATGTTCTTACTGTGATGTTTGACCATCTATTTTTTTTTTTTTTTTTTTTTTTTTTTAACTTTTGCCAAAAGTGGGCCATGGTGTCATGCCCAACTTTATTAAAAAAACGAAAAAAAAAAGGGGGAATTAAAAACCTCACATTAATTGCTTGAATGGTCATTTCCAATCTGTTCTTTTTACTGTTTTCAGGTAAGTTGGACAAAGGGGCTGTTCTCAAGGCGATTTGTGCAGGTTTTGAAGAGACCACAGAGCCAGCCACATGTTTAAGTGAAGGTTATCTTTCAGGATTAATTTAACTGCTTCAATATGTTTTTTATAAGTGCTGGCAGTCACCCATGTGTTCCTGCCTGGGGTGCTAGTTCACTGTGCAGAAGATGCTCAAATCGTTTAAGAACACAATAAAAGAGCACGTGGTTGCAGTATTGGTATTTTGGTGAAATGATGATAGCAATTCCTTTTCAGTAGCAAAATCTAGGATGATTAGCTGTACTCATATATTTTCACTGCTGATTTTTGGATAGAGACTCTTGTCGAGGTGGGAGTCATTTATGTGTTATTTTTCTTTGCAGGTGTAGAAACCAATGAGTGTCTAGAAAATAATGGTGGGTGCTGGCAGGACAGGGCTGCTAACCTTACTGCATGCAAGGTGTCTACAGAATTTCAACATTTTGTTGGTATTATGATTGTGGTACTTTCTTTGATTCTAAGTTTATTTTGGTCCTGGAATTTCATTGTTATAGGATACTTTTCGGGGTAGAGTATGTGAATGTCCAGTGGTACATGGTGTGAAGTTTGTTGGTGATGGTTATACTCATTGTGAAGGTAAATTGCTTTCATGTAATCCCAAGTTTAGTTTTGACTCAAGTTTAGAAACATCTGTGTTTTAATGCACATCATCTTCTGCTTGTCTGTTCAACAGCTTCAGGTTCTTTACGTTGTGAAATCAACAATGGAGGATGCTGGAAGAAATCTCAAGATGGCAAGACGGTTTCTGCCTGCTTTGTAAGTCTTGAATTTGATGGAACTTCTCCTTCTTTCTTTTTTCTTGCTCACATCTTTAATTCGATTATTTTTATTGTGACTAACTTTTTGAGATTCATCATTCATTGGTTCTCTGATGGGTTCCAGGAAGATCATTCACTAGGTTGCAAGTGTCCTCCAGGATTCAAGGGTGATGGAGTACATAACTGTGAAGGTACCTTCCTTCTTTTCTTTGTTATTGTGTTAACATTATACTTTTTGGTGGGATGCAGTTAGGATTCGCCACTTCAACTGGGTTATTGTCCATAGCTCCTTGAACCATTATTATTGTTTTTTTAAGTCCTTCCAGTAGAAATTTTCTGCTCAGTGAAGATTATGGAAGTTTTCATCGGTAGAATTATTATATTAACCAAGTAAAAAAATTCTATATACCAGTTTTATGAAAACATCTATGGTTTAATATGTATGCAGTTCCTTCAATTCCAAAATGTTTGGGGAAACCACCCATTGAACCTTGTCATCAATAAATAACTCAGCAACAGCTATCCTTCTCTTGTTTTAAATTTCCATGCAATTTTATTAAATTTGCACACAGGCTCTTTGCCATCTAGGATATAAGTGCACTTGCTTCTTTTTAAATATCAAACAGCATGTCATTTTCTGTTGTTGGTGAAACGTTGTAGATTATGAGGCACTCACCACATGTTCTCTTTTGGCTGTTTTCCAGATGTGGATGAATGCAAAGACAAGCTGGCCTGCCAGTGTCCAGAATGCAAATGCAAGAATACCTGGGGCAGTTACGAGTGCAGCTGTGGTGGTGGTTTATTGTACATGCGAGAACATGACACGTGCATAAGTGAGTATCCTCTGAGGATTTTCAGTAACTTCCTCCGTTAACAAAACAATCAACTTTCAGCTCAGTATTTGCACCACATACTGCAAAGTCCTTATTTTGAAGCATTTTTATTTATTGATTATATTTTTTACCTGTGTTACAATTTTTGCTTTGGAGGATGTCAAGATTCCATTAATAGTTTTTTTTTCCTTATACTGCCGCTGTATTTGGTGCTCTTTCTCTCTCGCATTATGAAATATGTATGATGAAACATATTTTCTGTCACATAAAAGATCAAATCTTATTAGAACCTGTTCCTAAAACTGGTAGATACATCTAGTACCTTATGAGTTTGCATCTCTCGTATTTGGTGTGAACCTGCATTTGAAAATACTGTACAACACTAGAATTCATTCTAAAAGTATCAATTTCAAGTTCATTATGAGTTGGCACTGCTTCTGGTTATGACTATTTCTAGTATTCCTTTCTATTCTTCTGTTTTAGCCACTGCACATCTTAAAAAGTAATTTCCAATTTCTACTCAACATAGAGCTGGAACTAATTTCAGTTATTAGCTCTTGAAATCTACTATGCTACATGGGATCACTAGCATTCCACAATTTATTTCCTTTTGCCATGTGAGGACCCCACTGATTTATGTTCTACAATGATTTAGGCAAAGCTGCTAACGCAGAGTACAGCTGGAGCTTTGTTTGGATTATTATTCTTGGCTTGGCTGCTGCTGGAGCTGCTGGATATGCAATTTACAAGTACAGAATCCGGGTATGTTTCTTTGAATCCATTCCTTAATTTGGCTTTAATGCAGAAAAACACATGGCATATGCGCCATTTGTTCAAATCTTAGTGAACTCAATGGAACAGAACAAAAAAATTATGCATGTTTGTCTTGTGTGTGTGTGTGTGTGTGTGTGTGGGCGGGGGAGGGGGGATTGAAGGAAGGCATCCAAGTGAGAAAAATCCAAGCTTATGTACATGCTTGTCCATCATTGAAGACCCAGAAATATTTTTTAACCTAAGATGCTGACTTACCAACAAACTTTATGGACTTGCATTTGCTGGTGGTGTTGAGATCATGAAACAGGATTTGTTTACGTTTGATATTTTTGGTTAACAGGTGTAGTTTTGATGTTAATAACAGTGACCTGGATTTCATCTGTTATAAACTTTTGTGCAGAGTTACATGGATTCAGAGATACGGGCTATCATGGCACAGTATATGCCATTGGATGGTCAAGCAGATATCCCTGTTCATCATGCTTCCCGTGGGGACATCTGAATGTGAGCTGGTGAGATGTGCTGAGGCATTGTGTAAACCAGCAGCATCCCCAAATCAGAAAGCGCTCTGTCAGCTTCTTTTTGGTTCTTATGGAGTGTAATGTTTTAAATCGGCTGCTGGTAGCTATTTCAGCCAGCATGGTACCATTTAGTATCACTCTTATATGTAAATTAATATTATAAGTGGTGCACGTAATTCCCAGGAGCACAGGAAATGTTGAATTCGATGTAAGATGCTTAATGGTCAGGATTCAAATTTTTTGGCCATCTTTGGTTTCATGTTCCAGTTTCTTGCTGACTTGGATGTCAAGGGTTTTTCCTTTTTTATACTAGATGCTAAAATAAATTCCAAACTGTCCCTCTAGCTGGGAGAGCAATCTTAAGTCTGTGAAGGTGGGCATGATTTCTTGTATGGCTTGGATCTTAATAATGATGTTGATTGTTTTTAGATCAAATGTATCTCCAGTGTGTTGAAGGTTAACTAAGAAACTGTTTGGTCTTGACTTCTCTCACATGGTCATGAGTTGACGTGCGTGGTTGGAAGTTTACTTGATTGTCAATTTTAAACTGGTCTTTTGCAATGGAATGTTCTTGCCAAAAAATGCAACTACGACTGATTTTAAGCTTTTACTGGAAAACCACATGATATGAATTTATGACCAAATGAAGTAAATTACAATGGCATGGGCTGTTATCTTTATTAGATACAAATGATTTATCCTGCGCGCTGATAACGGCCATCCAACTGGCTGGCTTGTTTGGTATCAACTGTAGAAATTATTAAATAAACCTTCAGTGGTGTTGTTAAGAGCGATACCATGAAGACCCTTTGTTTCTCCAAATGCCTGGAGTAGGGCATGGGCTACTAATATTAGCACAAACGGGAATATCTTTTGGCTGGAAAAGATTCTGAAAGCATATTTTATATGTATAATTAAGAGCCAAAAAAAAACTAACCACTATGTAAGGAACAAATATCAATATACCCAACACCGGTAATTTCAGCACATCAAGGGAAAAATATCCACCAGATTATTGCAACTTTCTCCCAAACCCTAGTAACACAAACTAAAACTAGACAAAAAGCCATAATCTGTAATCCGACGCTCCAGAATCAAGCAATGTTTTCCGGGACCCCATCTTTTTCTTCCAGAGCTACTTAATCTCATAAACCTTCTACCTGGAGGTCATAGGAGAAGTTAATTAGATCAGCTACAACATGGAAGAATGGAAGACCAACTTGGCAGCAACCTTATCCCTTTTCTCTAGGCATAATATTAATGACAGCAACTTGCAATTTTTTTCTCTTTTATTAAAGAAAATGAAAAAGAAAGTGGAGATTCATATTTTATGAAGCATGCATCACAAACAACTATTAGTATTTGTGAGCAGTTGGACATCAAACACAAAATTGCAAGTATAAAAAAGTGACAGTTGGGAGGAGCAGAGAAGAAAGATATGCAATTCAACTAACCTGTGGAATAAATGCATCAATCTTCTGCTCCATGTCCCAAGTCTGACCCTTTACTCTCTTTACCATCCATGGCGATCTTATATAGATAGAATGCAGCCATTGCACCACTGAAAAGCAAAGCCAGTACCGAACTTTCAAAAAACACAAGTATACATTATACAAGTCCATCTGGTCATATGACTTAGAGTACAAGTATGTGCATGACCATGCAGCAAGAACAGTACAGATATGCCAGTTCCAGAAGGGGGCTCCAAATAACCAAGATGAAGAAATCAAAAGGTGAAGCCTTAACACTATCAGAAAAGGATAAATTCAGAGAAGCTACATGTAAAGAATTTGGCCAGACTAAACCATAACCAATATTAGATCAAGCATGAGTTCATGAGTATAAGATGAGCCATAGTTCCCGGTCTTCAATTGAGACTACTCTTGGTATTAGAACAATGTAAACTGTCGGACGTTACTTTTTAAGGCAAAGTACGTTATGCCTATCTTGAGTAAAATTGCAGTGGATGACTATAATACTACATGTGCATGTAGAAATTCTTATTTCATTATAGAACAGACAATTTTCATCCAAGGCTGCATAATGCAACTCCTGCGTTACACTCTCAAGAGAATCTAGTGGATGGCTATAATACTACATGCGCATGTAGAAATTCTTATCTCATTATAGAACAGAAAATTTTCATCAAAGGCTGCAGAATGCAACTCCTGTGTTACACTCTCAAGAGAATCTAGTGGCAAATCCTTGAGCTCTACCTCAATTTTTAACCTCGAATTTTTTGCACCTTTAAACCTCATCAAAGTTCAAACACTACAGCACCTCGTCAATAGTTAGTTTACACTAGAAAATTTTACTTTGACAAGCAACCCTTCTCTTCACACTTATTGAGAACCTTAGCGACCTAACTACTAAGGTAGCAATGGAAATATGATAACAAAAAATTTAGGGAACAAAGAACCTGATGAGGGTTGCAAGAGGAGTAAAAAATGAAGCTCTCTGCAAAAGAAAAGGGAATAGACAGTTAGAAATACAAAACACAACAAGTATACAAGACACCTCATAAAACAGGAAAGTTGGTATGGATGTTTGCAAAACTCCTACCCGAGTTATTATGATGCTAATGTCCCTAAGAAAGATAATAGCTGCTATTGCTGCAGGACCAAAAAAGCCAGTTAAAAACTTTAAGTCAAATATAAAACAGAAAATATATGCGAGTATTGCATAAGATATAGATAGAAACACTAAGAAATAGAAAATACATAAGAAAAAGCAGCTTTCATACAATAGCCCAAAATAACAGCTTTTCTTTCATCATGAAGTAGCTCACAAACTATTATTATCAGAAAATACAATCAAAATACTTTCAGGGGAAGAGCATGAATGAAAGAAAAGAAAATGGTCAGCCTACCCCAAAGCACCAAAAGCATATACTCACAAAACCTACGTGGTTAAACTATGCAATAGATGCAAAAACCTATAGAAAAGGAAGAGCTAATCTGGACAATAAAGCTCGTGTCTATGGTGCCTTTTAGATTCATAACTTAACACCGAACTGCCATTGTTTTGAAGCTGCAAGTGAATCTAATATCTCATCCTTATGCTTTGAGACATTCTACACAAGGTGCGGGATGTTAAATTCATATCTCAACATGTACACACAAAACCTGTATGGTTAAAATATGCAATAGATGCAAAAACCTCTAGAAGAGGAAGAGCTAAGCTGGACATTAAAGCTCCAGTCTGTAGTGCCTTATAAATTCATAACTCAACACTGATCTCCCTGAGTTATGAAGCTGCAAGTGAATCCAAGATCTCTTCCTCATGCTTTGAGACATTCTACTCAAGGCGCATGCCTTTAACTTAATAACTTAACAGCATTCTTTGTTACATGTGATACCGTATTTCAAAACTTGTCAAAAATGACCCAACTATGAAACTAATAAGAAACAGAAAGCAGCCTGCCTAAGCTGAAATAGTTTAGAAGCTAGCCAACAGAAAACAATTTGAGGGTTTTTTCTTTTTATATGTATATATTTTATTATAGAATAACCACACACTAACCTGCCTGTCCTTTCAAGGCTAAGGGATATGGCTCTCCTCTTCTGTAAGCTTTTAAACTTGATACGCTTAAAGCCAGAAGTGCACCACCAAGAATGACACCAAACCTAATGGAAGCGATGCTCCCAGACAACATGAAGGAGATGAACCCAGAAGTAGAAAGTAATAAACCTGTGAAGCATAGGCAATAACATGAAAAACATTGAAGCCATTTAAAAAAGAGAATGCACTAAAAGGCCATTACCTAGTTAAGAATAACCAAAGTGAGAGTCGGGAGGGACAATTCATATAAAATCTTACCCCAGCTTATCCACATTCAGTTAACCTTATGAAGGTTAACAGAATGATTTGAGGCAGATGGGCTTGAAAACATAAATTGACAGCATTTAGCAGCCTTAGTATATCTCTAGTGTTGTTACTCCTAACAAACTCTAATTTACAACAAAAAAAACCCATTCAACAAAATTTGTATAAATGAATTCCAGTGGTGCACTACACATACCATATGGTATTCCAAGTTGGAAATCCTGGACTTTGGAAATATCATTCAAATTATCAGTCGAAGAAGATAACGTTTCGACAACCTCCTTCACTGGTTCTGGAGAATTCTCTGTAGCCGCCACGAGATAATCTATACTCTCTTCACCGAATTCCTTTGCTAGCTCGCCCAAATCACTCTTTGCTTTCTCTGCTTCAATCTTTAACTTCTCTGAAGTTTCTTGCAAAACAACCATAGCTTTCTTTGAGTATATCTCATATGCTTCTTGTGAAACACTTTGCAACTTCAAAGCTTGTTCTTTGAAAGATTCTAGTGTCTGTTTCCACACTTCCTCTGATTCTTCACCCCCTAATTTTCTATCTTTCGTTTCCTTTTCCACTTCAATCTCTGAATGCTTCTAAACATTGCCAGCAAAAAAAAAATAGAAAGAGAATCCATTTATATCTCACTCCAATTCAATATTGAAGAGAACCAATATTAAAAATCTCTCTTAAAATGCAACGAGGTACAAAAGGATTTAAAGTCTGGCACAAACAAGATGGGATTGATCAAAATTCACAACCAATCAAACCATAAAAATTCCCATGTTAATCAAACAATACAGCTTTCTCGTGTTAAACAGAAGAAAAAAACAATAAAATCCAACTTAAATTTAACATTCAGAAAAGAGAAACCCAGATGAAAAATACTTAGGATTCACTAAACAAAATCAAATTTCAAAATGCAAACAGTAGAGACAATCAAAAGAGCAGATATTGGAATTCTTACAGAATCCTCATGAGAGGCAGCAAAAGCCACAATTGCTCGATTCAACGAATTCCCATAACGAAAACCAACAACAAGCCCTTTTGGGACAAAAGCCCTTGGAGATTCAAAAGACAACCTGTGACCACTAGGTTTAAGCAATAAAGATTGGAACTTCAAGGATGGAGCTAACAAAGCCATTGAAGAAGAAGAACAAAAAGATGGTCTTTTTGCCGGCAGAGAACTACAACCAGCAGATAACAACTCCATTGAGACACTCATTTTCTTCTTGTTCAGAGAAAGAGAGGACTGGGTATTTTTTAGGCGAGAGACACGAGGGAAGAAGAGGAACGAGGGTTTTAGGAGAGGGCCAGGAACAACTACTTCCTTCGCCTGGGGACTAGGAATCGTGTAATGTCTTAGTCACACGGAATTGAAAAGGGTTTGGTTAAACTATATTTTAGTCCTTATATTTTTAACAACGTTTCTTGATACTTTTACACTACAATCAGCAATCACTTTGTCTTCCTTTTTTTTTTCTTTTTTGGTGATATTGATCGCATTCATGGTAACTTCCTTCCATGACAAAAAATAAGATTCAAAGTCTCAGTAGTTTCAATTATTTCAATTGCAATGAGATGAGAAATGACATTTTTTTATTATATAGGTTTGCTGAACCCTTTAATTAACAAAAAAAGAAAAAGGTTGCTAGTATGAGATGAAATTGCTCCTCCATGACTACAAATAAGTGTTAAATTTAACTTAATCCTTATAATCTGAAACTAATTATTTATTCGTGAGAATAAAAAATGATTACAAAAATCCTTTTATTAGTGTGTTGATTTCCAATTTAGTAATGTCTTTTTTTCTTTTTAAAAAGCCCTCTTATCAAATTTTTCTATCTTATTTAGTTATCTTCTACTATTTTTTTAAAAAAAAGAACATGAAACTAAAGGAAGAAATAAATTATAGACAAATGTAAGTTGTATTATTATTATCGAAAACCATATTCACTGATTTTGCATGAAATCAAAGTAATCAATTGAAGTTAATTGTGTGATTCTAGATCATGGAACAAGGTTATGAAACGGAGAGATATTTTGTTAATGTTAGGTGATACTTACCATCTCTTGAAACAGAATCCAACCGCATGCTTGAATTCCAAATTGTCTGTCTGTTTTTTTTTTTTTTTTGTAGCACAAGAAATATTAAAATAAAATACTTTCCTTAGACAACACGAAAAGAGAGCTCGCTCCTTCTTTTTATTTATTTATTTGTTTCAATAATTACAAAAAACAATTCATTTACTCTTCAATTAGACATGATTTACTTATTAGTCGCTTCAATCACTGTTTATTTACTGTTGATTTAGACTCATGAGCACTATAAAGAGATATTTTCATTATTTTAAGATTACAGTGAGACCAGTATACATGGATTTTTCCTAATATCATATTTTAGTCTTTAATGTTTTCAAAAGTTTAATTTTTGGTCCTTAAGTTTATTTATATCTCAATTTGATCCTCATATGCAAAGAGAGAAAAGAGAAGGTCACGATAAATTCTAATTCTGATTTTTTTTTGACCGATCTTGCGTTCATATTATTTATTCTGATAATAATTGTGTATTTAGAATGGTTCTAAGCTATAAAATAATTAAAAAAGTTAGATCGAACCTAAAAAAATTGATTTTTTTATGCATCAAAATGCTTTTAAGTTTTTTTTTGCCTTTTTTTTTACCAAATATTTTTTTAAAAAAATTATCATTGAATTGAGTGCAAAAATTATATAAAAAAATTAATAATTATTTTTTAAAAATTTTTCACAAAGGTTGATGGTTATGAAATATTTATGATATGTTTTCGAATTCGGAATGAACATATAGATCATATTATATTACTCTTATTATTTTAAATTAATATTTTTTATTTTTTTTCTTATGGAAATTCTCACAAAATTAATTTTATATATTTTTTGTTAATAAATATGATTTATTTTTTGCTATGTATGGATTTTTGAATAAAATCTTAAATATAATTATTTTATCTTTTTCTAATGAGCATGCGTGACACACACACACACACACACACACGTATGTGTGAATTATATTACTCTTATTGCTCAAAATTAATTTTTTTTATTTGTCGTTTCTCATAGAAATTCTCATAAAATTAATTTTATTTTTTTATAATTTTATTTGTTAATAAATATGATCTTTTTTCTCTATGTATGAATTTTTAAATAAAATTTTAGGATATCATTGATTAATCTTTTTATATATCGATATAATTCATACGATGGATTTTTATGATTTTTAAATAAGATTTTAAAAAGAAAAAAGTAAATTTTAGATAATTTGTCTCAAATCTTCTAAAAAAATTAAATTCACATGTTTTATTTACTTCTATTTTATATAATTAAAATTTATCAAAATTAATTTTGAAGTTTTTCTTATTTTAGTCTATTAACTTGAATATAGTTCTTGCAATTTATTTATTTGTTAAATATTTTTTATTTATGTCGCACACTCGAACGCAGTGAGTATGGTCAATAATGTATATATAAAAAAATTGAGATAATTGGTTTTACAAGAAATTAACTACACAGGTGATATGAGTGGAAATTACATGTAATTTAGGATTAAGAATCTTTAATTTTATCTTTAATTATGTAGAATTAAAAGTGATTTTTAATATTTGTAATTTATATTGTATATCTTGGTATACTCTGTTGTTTTAATGGTTTTGTAGGAAGAAAAGAACATTCTAAATGCAAAGATTCCCGATTGATTGAAGGCAACATATTTTTAAAAAATGTTAGAAGTAGACATGGGGTTTTCATATCAACACACACCCATGCTATAGTTATGAAAGGTTTAGCATCCATTCGACATGACACAACTCATGTTACACATGACATGGACCATGTTGTTGTTTTGTTTTATCCGAGCTTTTAGCATTTCATTAAAGAGGGATATAAAAAGAAAGCAAACGAGACACAAAATAGGAGAGAACTAAACGAAGGAGAGATGATAGAGATAATGTTTTACAATTGAGAGAAAACTTACACACAAAATAGAAGCTAAGGCTTGAGATCCATTTTTAGGAACAAACTTTTAGCTAAATTTTATGGATTATCTTATGCCTTCAATCATTTGGATTTGTTTTTCTTTTCAAAGCATACACATGACTATGTGAGAATTTGAACTCCAAACCATGTCATATGGTTCTACCCGTGCGACCATTTTCTCCTTTAAATGACTATTTCAATTAATGTACATAATACAGCTATGTGAAATTGTTTTCTAAACCGTGCTCAAAATTTTCTAGCCATGTGTCCTAATTTCATTTTGAATGTATGCCTCATTAATGTATATACACGGGAGTATGGGAACCGTTCTTCAAAATCGTGGAGATCAATTTTGCTTGTGTCCCTCTTTCCTTCTTTGAATGATGTTTCTTCATTGAAACACACACGACCATGTCCAAAATGAACATCAAACCATGTGGAAGGCTACCGCCCGTATGCCACACTTCCTCTTTGGATAGAAATCCTCTAATAAACAAGCATAGGCGTGTTCTCTAAACCGTGTAAAAGTATTTTGCCCGTGTGACTACCTTTTGAGAAGTTCAAAATAGCCAATTATTTCTCGTAAGTCCTTAATGACTTTGATTTTAGCCTTTTTTAGCTTAGCTTAATCATCTTAAATCCATAGAAAATTTAATGAGTGTTAGTTAAATACAATATGAAACGCATGAATGTGATTGAATGGTACTTTTTCATGGTTTGAATGTCATGTAATGATATGAGAATGCTATGAACTATGAGGCATGAATGAGAATGTGAACGTAAGTATGAATATGAATGTGATATGGTTGAATTAGTCTTAAGTAATTAAGGAAAAAAGACTAACTAGGTGTGTGATTATATACATGTAGTGAGTGAGAATGCCACCTACAAGGAAAAATAACAATGATCATAATAACGTGGGTCCGAATAGGGATGTCACGGATAGAAAGAAATGGCTCATGGCACTACTTAGATAGTAGTAAGATATGATGCAAAATATAAAATGATGATGGAGGTACGAAGACGAAGAACAATAAAATTTGAAAGTGGCTAGACGACTACAACGAGCAGACATAGCCGAGCATTTTTGAAAGTTTAATCCAAAGGAGTTCAAGGGCAAGCGGATCTAATGGCTGCCGAGGAATGGCTAGATTTCATGGAGACGATCTTTGAACACTTAGAACTAGAGGATGCGGATAAGATAGCTTGTACTACTTTTATATTAGTGGATGATATACGCGTATGGTGGGAGTTGATGAAAGTCACCCTAAATGTGCTTCAACTCACATACGCATGATTCAAGGAAGTGTTTAATGAAAAATACTTCTCAAACACTATTAAGTCTTGAAAGATCCAAGAGTTTCGAAACTCGAGCAAAGAGATATGATGGTGATCGAATACATTTGACAATTTAAGCATGATTGTCGATTTACCACTTTTATGTCGAGCAATAAAGCATAGAAGAAGGAACACTTCCTTCAAGGATTGAGTGTTGAGATCCAAAGTCTTGTGCGGGTGTTGGCTAATAGCTACTCGGAGATAATCAATCAAGCACTCTAAATCGAGTTGGATCAAAAGAAATGGGCCCAATCTCCACTAATGAGGAGGCCAAACATTCCTAGTAGGCATGCTAGCCCATTGGGGGAAAAGGAGACCATTGATGGGGCCTTGGTAAGGAAATGTTAAAGAAAACGCCAAGAAAGCTAAGGCTCATACTCCACCACCAAGGAATGAAGTGAGAGGCGAGACAAGTTGTCTAAAATGTGGTTGTTCTTACACCGGTAATTGTTTGATTAGCACAAATGTGTGTTATTTTTGTAAGGAGGTTGGGCATTTAGCAATGGATTATCTTAAGAAAAAGGTAATGGTTGAACAACAAATTTTGAGATGAGTCTATAATATGAATTAAGAGTAGACATATAAGGCGAACAAGGGGAAAACGGATGTTATATGTGATAATGTCTTTATTCAAAATCTTACCGCATATACACCGATACATTCGAGTGCCACGTATTCATTCATTTCATGAACATTTTTAAAGAGATTAGGTATGATACCTAAATTACTAGAAGTAATATATGAAGTGGCTCTTCTATCAAGAGAGTCAATTGAGTCTCGTTACATGGTAAGGAATTATGAAGTGCAAATTAGAGATGATATTTTACATATAGACTTAATGGTCTTGAGAATTCAAGACTTTGATATTATCTTGGG